TTTTTTTTTAAAATTCTTTTCGGATGCGGTGCCGGCTAGCGCTGCTGCCACTCACCGGCCTTCATCCGCTTCCTTTTATTGCTCTGGGCCACTGAGCGGTGCTGGACTGTTCTTTCAGACGACTCTCTGCAGCTGGTCCGCATAATCAGAAGTGGTTGTCGGGAATGCATGACGTCGGTGATCGGAGAGGGACGAGACGCGAAGGTGAGGAATGCAGGCGACGAGCGGATCGGCGGCGTGCTGCAAAAAATCAGCGGGCGGACTCAGCGCGCCCTTCGAAAAGAGACAGGTGCGCGGTTTGCACGTGCGCGAGTGCCGCCTCGTTTTTTCGCACTCATAAGTTTTCTGGTGATTTTGCAATTGCTTTTGTACTGCAGATTGTCGTCAGCACGTCGTGCGGACTGCGCGCCAGGCATCACTGCGCTGGAAGGCGAAGCTGACAGCCGGACCAGTGTGGATTCGCTGAGGAAAGCGGCGCGCGAAGATGCTGTTTGGGCAGAGTTCGTTCTCGTCTTTCTCGTCAGCTGACCAATTCTTGCTGAGCTTCATGCCTTTGTGCAGTGCACGTATCTCTTATTGTTTATTCGTCATTCTTCTTGCAGGCGTCGTGCGGAGCGTGATCGACGTTGTGAGCGGGGTGTGCGAAGTGTATGGGGACGTTCGCCAGTCATGTGCGAAATACACGAAATTTACGAAGAGTAAGTATTGTCAGAAAACTCAGTCTTCTTCAGTGGTCAGTTCGGCGCTTATTCAGTTGGTGTTTCGATCCGCTGGTTGGGTAGTTGCAAAATGTTTTCACAGTGAATCCATTATTTTAAGATATGAAAGAGCCGAAAAGGTGCTCCATAAGGACGAACAGCTACCGAAACCTCTGGATTATAATGCCAGCGAGCAGAGCGCAAATTCGAGGAAGGAAAAAAAGGAAAGGAAAAAAGACAAGAAATCAAACAAAAAGCGTAAGAAAAAAGTTGGTCTTCCTGCCTGCTTGATCGAGGTACGCGGGAGAGTTCATTTCATTTACAGTGTAGTTGGCTTTTAAGCACGAGAAATCGAGTGAAAGTGAGGAAGAATGGGTAGAGGTAACGGCCGAAATGCGGGAAGCCGAGGCTGCGCGTGAAAAATTGGAAGAGGCAGCAATGATTGGACCAGCAGTTCCGGATCATCTGCTCCAGAAACATGCTGCCTTACTGGATACAAGCAAGCGAATCAAGTAAGAAACTTAACATAATCCAATTCCTTTGCTGCTCTTTCCATGTCTGCACACCCTCCCCTCCTCTTTGTGCCGTTTAGGGCCTCCCGATTCGCCCCATCCCATCTGGGCGTACA